TTTATTTTTTCAGGATATTGGGAGACAGTTTCTTAGATACAATGAAAAGAAAAGCATGATGTTGTTTGCCGCATAAGCGCAAAAAAGACTTAAATTTCAGTTATGATTAATATCACTGTCCAGGAACACACATTGTCATGACAATATAGAACATCGCGTCCATGACTCTTGCCTCTTTCTATCCAAACAAAGAAGCGAAAACTCTTACTCGGTGATAAAAAACCTAGGTTTCCCAACCGACAGGTTTGTTTGCTTTTTTTTGTACACAGGCCAACCGATGAACAACGAAATCCGCTAATTAAAATACCGAATTTCGTCAAAAGGGACTTTATTCTCTAGAGCTATGAGATTCTGAACAATGCAGAATAAATCTACCTGTTTAGCTTACAAATTTAATCTTCTGAAGTTAAACGCGAATAGTAAAGTAAAACCTGAAGAATCTGGGTGCAATTTTTGCACAACTTTTTTCGAAAGTGGCGGACCGGAGGAAATTCGAACGTTGTACCTGGTTTGGGATAGTCGTATGGATTGTATTGATCGTTCTAAAAGTTTTTGGGACGATTAGCACAATATGGACGATCAGGCCAGGGCAATTATATGAAAGCTTACCTATTTATCCATGAGACTTCAGATCTAACTAGAATGTCCCGGATCGCAAGGCAATCGCCCGGATCACCCCGCTTTGAATCGAAAGTGTTTTGTTTAGTGTGGTAATCTCAAAACTTGTCTTGATCACTTGAACAAATTTTGAGGGACTCTGTCAATCGAGGCAACCCGAGCCATTATTTGTAAGCCAGGCTACATTCAAACTAACAATTAACTTTACATGGGCCTATATTCCAGCGATCGCAACTTTGGCTAAAGAAACGTACAGTTGAATATATTTTATTTTTAAACTCTGCTCGTTATAATTATGTTTAACCTTAAACACTATCTATGGAAATTGATTGATTATTTTGCAAGTATCTGCAAACAGGTACTATGCCAAAACGGACAAAACGTTCGCTAGCAAACAGGTGCTCCTGAAAACTGTAAACATAGGGCACGAAGCAAATACAACTAGAATGATTCTTTTTTTCACATTCTTTATAGAAGAAGTTTATACTACATCGTAATTTACGGATTAGCCGAGGTTATTCTTTTACACGCAGTTCCGACCCCAGTAAACATTCATTAATCGTTTAATCTGGTCCAAGCATAGCACTGCACCTTGAAAGCTAGATTTCTACTCGGCCGTAAGACGAGAGACTAAATGATTCAGCTCTTACCTGACTTGTGATGACTATCTCTTGTACGGTTTGAACTTGCTCACAAACAACTTTTAAAAGCTGCAAAATGGAATTTCAGTCCTTCGCGAGGCTTAGTGATAAAAAGCGCTTATTTCGGTATCCTCGTTTCGAGGTTTTTATGTGGGACTTACGTACTTATTTGGTGGGTATCCTGTTTCATGGGTATCCTGTTTCGTGGCTTTCCTTTCCTGTGAACACCACGAACCAAGCCTTCAACATGTTCCAACATTTAACATTGAAAACATGACTGATCTGACTGCTAAGGGTTGGTAATATATTTGCCCAATCTTTCGACTAGACAAAACTAGTCTTAATCAGGGGCTAGAAAAGCTTTCTTATGGTGGCCCTAACTGTCACGGCAAAACAAGTACGCAAAACCAAAAACCTCACGGCAAAACCAAATACTTCGCAGCAAAAGCAAAATAGCTTTGGTTTTGCCGTGGGTATTTGCTTTTGCCTCTGGGTATTTGGTTTTTGCTGTGAAGTATTTGGTTTTGCCGTGAGGTCTTTGGTTTTGCCGAGAGGTTTTTAGTTTTGTCCTGAGGTATTTTGATTTTCCCGTGAGGTTTTTGGTTTCGCCGTGAGGTTTTTGTTTTTGCCGTGAGGTTTTCGGTTTTGCCGAGAGGTTTTTGGTTTTGCCGTGACAGTTGTGGGCCACCGTACTTTCTACCCCCTGGTAAAAACCTAGTTTTGTCTAGTCGAAATATTGGGCAAATAAATTACCAACCCTTAGCTGTCCGATCAGCCTTGCCTTCAATTTTAAGTGTTATTCTATATTGCTGATACTGATTTACAACAAGATCCGGCTTTCCATCGCTACTGTTTGTCCAAGTAGGCCTTGCAAGAATTGTAGGCTAACATTTTCAAACCTCTGAGGTCACTGTTGTTTTAGATTTAGTTCAAATCAGCTGGGAGGGGGGAGTGCTCCTGATCCAAATAAATGAGTTTCTTTTAATTACTTTCTACGTCAGTGCTTCTTATTCAAGCAAAGTGTCTATGACAAGTGGCGCGGACAAGTCTGCAGCTACTTGTGAATCGCAATTCTCTCTGGATTGTT